GCAAGACCTTTGACAAAGTGCCCCATGATATCCTGGTGGAGAAACTGAGGAGTTTTGGGATACACCAAAGCACTGTCCAGTGGATTAGGGCATGGTTGACTGACTGAAAGCGGAGGGTAACCATTAGTGGGGAATCATTGGGATGGTGGCCAGTGACAAGCGGGGTCCCCCAGGGCTCTGTCCTGGGGCCGATCCTGTTTAATCTTTTCATCAATGACATGGAAGAAGGGGTGAACAGTCTGCTGATCAAATTTGCAGACGATACTAAAACTGAAGCAGTGGCCACATCTGAGGAGCAGGTACTCCAGATCCAAAAGGATCTGGACAGACTATGGAAGTGGGCAGGAGACAACAGGATGGCGTTCAGTGTGAATAAGTGCAAGGTCTTGCACTTGGGGCATAGGAATAGGTACCATAAGTACAGGTTAGGTGACAAGTGGCTGGAGAGCTGCACTTGTGAAAGGGACGTCGGGGTACTGGTTGACTGCAGGTTAAACATGAGTCAGCAGTGTGATGCGGTGGTCAAGAGGACAAACGCTACCCTTGGTTGCATTACCAGAAGTGTGGCTTCTAGTTCGAGAGAGGTATTACTACCACTCTATATGACTTTGGTGCTGCCACAACTGAAGTATTGTGCTCAGTTTTGGGCCCCTCATTACTGAAAGGATATAGCCAGGTTAGACTCAGTGCAGCGCAGGGCCACAAGGTTGGTGGCCGGTTTGCAGGGGATGGGGTATGAGGCGAGACTGAGGGAACTGGGTCTCTTCAGCCTGGAGAAGAGGAGACTCAGAGGGGATCTGTTGGCGACATACAGGTATGTGAGGGGATGTCACATGGAGATGGGTAGAGACCTGTTCTCCCCTGCAGAGGAAGGCAGGGCGCACTCCAACAGAGCCAAGCTCAGGGAACCAAGGTTCCATTTGGATGCCAGGAAGCGCTTCCTGACAGTCAGGACCCCGAGGGTGTGGAATGGACTTGCACGAGAGGTTGTTGAGGCCCCATCGGTGCAGGTGTTCAAGGATAGGCTGGACGTGCACATGGTGGGCATGTCGTGAGCGGAGCCGGCTGGTGCCAGAGGTCAGACTAGATGGCCGAGGAGACCCCTTCTGACTCACTCTGTTTCTATGTTCTATGTTTCCTGCCTAGTGCATTCACAGCAATTCTCACTTTACTTTCCAATATTGCAGGGTCTTCCTCATAACCTTCCTCTTTGAATGGGTCTGTCCTCTTTTCAGCTCCTCTGCATAGTTCCTCTGCATCTTGGTTCCACACTTTCTCCTCGTAAGATAGTCTGTTCCCTGCTTTCACTTCCTGCTTCTCTTAAGCATTCTTCTGTCATCCATCTAGGTTTTTTTTCTTTCTTTTTGCTACATGAATTGCCTTTTGGCATTCTTCCCTATTAACATATCTGGCTCACAGTTAAGTTGAGTAATGCAGATCTGTTGGTTATGAGGACTTTAAATTTCTCGGGAATGTTATTTAAGTTGTGTTTTGGCACTATGCTTCTGTGGGTGACCTTTTCCAGCTTTATTTTGATTTTCATATTAATACTCATGGCCACTACCACATTCTGCTCCTGGTCTTGCTTTAGCAGTGTCTACATCTCCTGCTTCAGATTACATAGTCTATTTGATTTCTGTATTGGCCACTGGTGATACCCATGCATACAGTCATCTGATCAGTTGCTTGAAGTATGTGTTTGTAATAAACAGATGGTTGGCTTCACAGAATTCTGTGACTCATTTTCCTGCTTCATTTCTGACCCTCGACCAAACCCTCTTCAACATTCTGCTTTGTTTCCCATTTTTGCATTCCAGTCAGCTGTCTTCTCAGCATGTCTTGTTTCGGTGTGGTATTAATTTCCTGTTGGACACCGGCATACAACTTTTCAATATCTTCTTCTTCTGCATCTGTTGTTGAGGCACAGACTTGAATTATGGATATGTTGATAGGTTTTCCCCAAATTCTGTTTGATATTATGTGGTTGGATTTTGCATCTTAGCCCCTTACTGTCTGTGCTACATCTTGCCTCAATATTAGAACTCCTCCATTTCTTCTGGGTGTGAACTTTGGCTTTTCTCTTCCTGAAAATGTTCCATTCCAGTCCACTTGAGCTTACTCACACTGTGATGTTAAGTTGTTCTATTTCTTGCTTTATGGTTTCTGGTTTGCCTTGATTCATACTTCCCATGTTTCATGTTCTAATTGTACGTGTTATACAATCCTGCCTGTTCCCTTTGCCCCTGTGCATGCTAGCCACTAAACTTCTTTTCATCTTTGATCAAGTTGCTTCCTTAGGGACAGTGCCACTGATACTTTTCCTTGGCTCTTCTCCAGTAATTTTGTTGAGCGCCTTCCAACCTGGGCTCTCACTTTTGGTCACTACCTCTTGTTTCATTTTGGATTCGGTCCTCATAGGGTTTTCAAACTAAGTAGGATCAGAAGTGGTTTACCCTTGCATTCTTCTGTTGACTTGCATGTCACCGTCATTGCCAGTGAAAGATTCTCCATCAGTGTCACCTTCAACTATTGCTGTTGCCCAGTAGCTGCCCTTGAGCTGTTTCTTCGCCCCCATCGGCATTAGAGCCATCCATTCTCTTCTGCTGATGTGACCGTGCTCCTGAAGAAGTGGAATCTCCTTAGTCTGCTACCTCAGGTTTGATCTATCCACCTTGGGCATCCATGCTATGGGACCAGCCTGGTAAGATCGTCTGGCCTCTGGTGGCATTACTCTTGGCTGTTCTCACACTCTTGAACCCCCTCACAAATGTAAGGTGTGCATAGAAACAGAGCTAGTCAGAAGGGGTCTCCCGGGCCATCTAGTCTGACCTCTGGCACCAGTCGGCTCTGCTCACGACATGCCCACCATGTGCATGTCCAGCCTATCCTTGAACACCCGCACCGATGGGGCCTCAACCACCTCCCGTGGAAGCCTCTTCCACACCCTCGGGGTCCTGACTGTCAGGAAGTGCCTCCTGTCAATGGAACCTTGGTTCCCTGAGCTTTGCTCCTTTGGAGCGCTTCCTGCCTTCCTCTACAGGGCAGAACAGGTCTCTACCCATCTAAGAAGGCAGATGCTGTTGTATTTATGCTTTTCTCTGTGATCTGGCAACCTGAACCTCCTGTTTGTGATGTGTTGATAGAAATATTCATTACAGTCTGATGTTCCATCTCATTTCTGAGACTTTTGTTTGTGCCTGCATGTACTCCCAAGATGATTCCATTTGCCGTGTACCCTTCAGCCCTGCCTCCTTAATAGTTTCTTAGGGTTTTGCTCCACAGTAAATGCATCTTAGTAATGGGTGTAAAAGTCCATGTAGCTGTTTTCTTCAGTGACATAAAATATATTTCTTGGAATATCTGTCTGATCTGGTTTTCTCACGAGGCTTTTGGTTTATGTTGCATGTTCAGGAATCAGTCCAGAATGAAGTCATTTTCCTGGGGCAGGTGCTCCTCCAAGGTGTAGGCTCAGCTATCACAAACTGTCTTGTCATTAATAAAATAATGTGCTTCAGATTGCACATTACCGTTACCACGTGCAAGGCAGTTGCATCGCTGTACATACATTTCCCTTCAGATTGTTTTCTGGTGAAAAACATGGCTCTAGGAGCAGCTTTGTTTCTCTGGAATCGTCGTCTAGTGCTCACAAGGGTGCTGAGAGTTAGAATCTGTGCACGAATTTAGAGTGATGTGCCCACCTCCAAATGCTGTTCTCCTGAAAGGGGCCAAACAAAGCTTAGCTACGCAGTTGTTGTTCTCCCTTTCAGCTGTATATGGTGAGCCCATTAATAGCTGAAATGCTTCCTTCCACTTCCATTTTCAACTTCATAGGTAGCTTGATCTTTCTTTCTACCAGCTCTGCTGCTGAGCTAGGCTGACATTTGAGAGCTCTGGAGGAACAGGAGAGTTCAATTTCTTAGGCTTGTAAGAAAGCTATGCTATGTTGTGAAGACAGCACAGCTTATCCACTGCTGTCATGTGTGAGTTTTACAGAGGATGGTTCACCAAGCATTAGAAAAATGCCAAACACTTTATTAAACAGAGACCTATGACCATTATGAGTCTAAAAGAGTATATGCACAGCGCTTAGATGGGTCACGGTAGGTAAATTAGCCATGCAGACTTAGCTGGGATAATAAATTGGCTACTGCATTATTGACTTTCACTTGAAAGGATCCGCAGGCATGGATCCTGTATTAGCCAAGCTACCTGCTCTCCAATGCTCCCTCCTGGGCCTCCAGAGGAGTTGGTGGTGGATTGTGGGGAAGGAGCTCACCACAGTGCAGGCCACTAATGTGAACTCCTCGGAGATTATAGGACTCCTCACCATGGGACAACAAGGGGCCCATTCTCATTACGCCCTCAGCATCGGGCCTAGTCTAATACCTACCATGCGTATGCGTTTGTTGTAAATCTTATAAAATGAAGCATCAACAAAGAATTTACTGACAGTGAAGATGAACTGTCAGACAGAATGAAATTAATAAAAATAATTACAAAAATGTTTTAGTTTGCCCTAATTGATGTTTTTTAATTTTAATTTTTAGCATTTAAGCATTTGTGAATTTGATCATTGGGCCTCACCTCAGATCTCACAATGGAATAGGTGTTGATCTAGATACTATTTTCAATACGGATTGGGTAGTCTTTTCTTCTGTTGGAATTGTAATGAAGCCTTCTGTAAAAGGCTCTCACAAAGGCAAAGTTGTTCCAGTTTTTGTCTTAAAATCAAGAGGTTCCCTAACAGATGCTTCTAACTAAAAGTAATGAAATTCCAGAAGACATGTGGCAAATAACATGGTAAAATGACGGTTTTAAAAGTTCATTAAGGATACTACTTCTGTTGTGTTCAAATGTTTATCTTTCTTGTCGGTAACAGAAAGTATATACCAAACCACAGGAATAGATTCTATTGCAGCGATTAGAAATTTAAACCCTTCCACAATGCACATGCATGCTCATGTGAAATAACAAAAAAACCCTTTTCCCTCACCTTCCAGATGGAACTTGCAAAGGAAGAAAAGTGTGAATTTCTGCCTTTCCTTTCTCCTCGGAAAGTTATACTCAAAGGAAGAAAGATTGTTGCTATGGAATTTGTTCGGACTGAGCAAGATGAAGATGGAAACTGGAATGAAGACCAAGATCAGGTTTTCCGTCTGAAAGCAAATGTGGTGATTAGTGCCTTTGGTTCAATCCTGAGTGATCCTAAAGGTAATTCTCATTAAAAAGATACAGAGTTCCACCAAACCTAGCCACTTTCTAATTCCATGAACTCCAAAGAGAAGGTTGAACATCTTTCATTTTACCAATGAAAGCCATGGGAATTAAATATACCTACATTCATTCATTATATTTGCAAGCCACCCAGTTGTGCCACAGCACCTCTGGGTGGCTCACAACACAAGAAAGAAACACAATAATGTACAATAGAAACTATAACATATATTAAAAACAACAATAAAAATTGGTAGAACATGTAAAACAGAGTTGTTTTGTTCCTAACATATAGTCTTCTTCCACGTCCAAATATTTTGTCAACTGAATGGCTGTTGTTTTCACATGCCATCAAGTCACTTTGGACTCAAGGCAACTCTGTGATTGAGTGCTGTCCAAAATATCCTGTCTTTGACAGCCTGCTCAGCTCTTGTCAACTCAAAGCTATGACTTCCTTTATGGAATCGATCTGTCTCATATTTGGTCTTCCTCTTCTTCTTCTGCCATTACTTTTCCCTAGCATTATTGTCTTCACCAGCTTGTCTTGCCTTCTCATGATCTGTCTGAAGTATGACAGATTCAATGTCTTCAGTTTTGCTTCCAGGGAAAACTCTGCCTTAATTTCATTTAGGACCATTTGTTCATCTTTTGCTTGGACCAGGATCTTTGCAAAGCTCTCCTCCAGGACCATGTTTTGAATTCACCGGTTTTCTTCCTGTCAGTTTTCCTCTCTGTCCAGTTTTTACACCCATTCATAGTGATTGGGATTGCTGCCCAGTAGGTGTTTTTCAGGAGTTCCTCTGCCCCAGTCACCATTAGCATTATCCATTCTCTTTTGGTAATGTGGCCATTACCTCTCAAGAAGGTAGGCGCATCTTAGTCCGGTGTGGTTGGACCATTCTGCCTTGGGTGACCCTGCTAGACACGGGACCAGTGAGAGTGTCGGACCTCCTGGTGGCATTGTATTCGGCTTCTGTTTTTTTCAAATTCCTTCACCTGCAAGAGAAGGCAAAACAATGGTGTTCATTTCAATAAGATAATGTTGGGTAAAATATTAGTTGAGATATACTTCTATAACTCTGTTTATTTATTGATTGTAAAAAGCACATACTTTTTATTAATTCATATAAATAATACATGTTGGGTTACATCAGATATGTTAGACTACAACTTGAAGCATCTCCCAGCCAGGTGATGCTATTCTACAGCAGATGAGCTCAAATACACAAGGGGAAAAGAACCATTTTCATGTTCTAACACAATGCCACGATTTCCCCATTCTGAGAAAAAGGGGGGCCCTCAGGAAATAGTTCTGAATAAACAGAAGTGAAACTTGAGGATCACAGTGCTTTCTAGTTACCCTATTAAGAACTGTGATTAAGGACACATGAATAAATGTAGAAAAGCTCTATGTCCCATATTATTGTATAAAATACCTAGGTAGTTAATTCATTTTCCTTTATCATCCATCTTTGCTAGGAAACACTCAATTTCTCCTTCCCTTTTTGGTAGATTCAGGCAGTGTTTCCAGTCTGCCAAGAGGCCACTCCAGGCCTCTGTACCCTTTTGCTTCCTTCTTATGGTTCATTATCTCATAAATTTGAATTCAACTCTATAGCCCTTCAAATAAAGAATTCTCCCAATGGAGGACTGTCCTCTGAAAGGCCTTCAAATAGAGGAACATCCTCTGCAAAGTAGGACACCTGGCCACACTACAGGAACAGTCAGGGAAATGAGCTCTGCTGTTACCACCTGAAACAGGTAAGCCCCACTTTCATGAAAATGGAAACATCTTGAATGAAATTCCCACTGAGTACCCATCTGTTCTGCTTGGAAAAGAAAAAGAAAAATGAGCCAAACAATTATCCTCCCATTTGGTTCAAATTATCATTCATTACAAGGTGAAGGCATACTCCTTAACATGGGGCTACACGAAACTTTGATCTGACTGGGCAGGGCTCCTTTCCACAGACATGCCTTCTTGGGCTTCTCTTTCCTCCCACGTACTTTGTTTCATAAAGTATTTGATTTAATTGTTTCTGCTGCTCTAGAGCAAAAAAGAGACAAGCAGCAACATTTGAATCACTAATGAAGTCCTGAGTGCTGAAGTTAACTTTAATTAGGTCTTATAAGAGTATATTTGAAGCTTGGCTAGTATACAGCATGCTGAATATAGATTCACTGCATCACACCGATCGTAGCTATAGCCTCATCTGGCAGCAATGCAGCATCAATCAGTTTAGTGGTCTTATTCTCTTTATGCTCTTTTATTGTAGCCCTGGGGTGAACACAGCAACTCATGCTGTATCCAGCAGTATCATTAAATATCAGCTTTCATTAATATATTTATATATAGGGAAAGATAGTGAGAGCGAGAGCGTCATTGCAGAAGATCAAATGGATGTTTTGGCTAACCTAATAGAGAGAAGAGCAAATGATCATAAGCGTGTGGATGTACAGCTAGACTTGGGGGTTAGAGGGGCTTCTGAACAGCACTGGATCTCTAATGCTGAGCTTCACCTGAGCTAGGATTACAACCAGGTGAACTTTCCTCCTTAGGGGAATGTTCATCTGCGTCTTCCATTCCCCATTTGTCCTAAAATGTTTTATTGAAGTTCTGCTATGACAGAAACTATTCCAGTGTTGCCTGTTAGAAACATTCAGGGATGCCAGTTTGCACTTTAGTGCCAGCAAGGGAGAGAGACTGATAGCAAGGTGCTGTGGTTTTCTCTTGAATGTATTCTTAACTAAACAACCAGCACCAGGTATGTTAAGAGAATTTATTGTGTGATTCTTTTCTTATCAGGTGTGGTCTAAAACATCCTAAGAAAGCTCTTTCCCCATAACATTCAAAATGGTGTCTCTGAAATTTTGCTCCTCATAGCTGCGGTGCATGATTTAATTTCCCTGCTTCCCTGCACTGCACCTCTTCTCAGTCTAGTCTCAGCAGCCCCAACAGGAAATGTATTCATTGTAGATGATGATTGTGATAATAAATATTTATTTGTTAGCAACTTTTCAAAAATGAAATATTTAAACTGGCTTTAATAAATGGCATAAATAAAAAAATAAAGTCAGAAGAAACACAATCAAATGCATAGCACAAATAGTTTGCCACCCATTTCCATATTTCTTTCTGGGTTCCAGGAAGTCATCATCCTCTGTGCTCTGCATTTCAATTTCCTGCTGATTGCCATGGGGAATACTTTTGCTCCAAAAGGGTTGTTCACGGCCTTGGCAAGCGCTCCCATTTATATAATACAGTAAAATTCCTTTTGCCAAGTCAGACCACTGGTCTATCCATCTACCTCACTACTGTTTCCACTGACTGGCACTGGGTCTCCAGGGTTTCAGACTGGACTCTTTCCCAGCCCTTTGTGGAGGTACCGGGTATTAAGCTTGGAGAATTTTGCACGCAAAACCCATGCTCTGCTACCTATGGCCCCTTCCCGAGCTTCCAAATGGAGTAAAGGAAAGGAGCATAAAGTGATTACAACTGGTGACTTCGGGAGCTTTCTCAGGAAGGAGACACATGTCCTCAGCCTCTGTTGACTGTAGCTCTTTGCAGGACAGACCTTTCTCTTTGCCAGCTTCAAGGCCAGGTTGGTATCGGAGAGAAGCTGCCTACGTTTTCTCATGTTAATGCATTTGCATCTTCAGCTAGGGATTTCTTCCTCCTCTTCTCTTGGCAGCTAAGTAAGGTGAACAGAATAGTGTCTCTTTCTTTTCCTGTTGCATTTTAATCCATTAGGATATTATGCTCAAGCAGTCTTTCTTTTTCTGGTCATTCAGAATGCTGGATGCATCCTGCACCTAGACATTGTCATGGCATTCTCGTGGCCTTGTCTGTCCAGTGAAGATTCAGTAGCAATGTTACCTTTCTAGCTGAGAAGTACTTTGCTATGACAACATAATTGCCATGGGCTAACTAAACGTGACATTAAATGCATTGCTCACAGTGAAATCAGGTGATTATTTGTAATAAATATATAAATGGGCTGCTCTGATCTGAATTGGAGACTACACAACATGAGGAAGGGAGGATTAACCCTTTGCTGGTGTGCACATACCAACCCTGCAGTAGGAAAAGAAAGCAAGTTCTCACTGGTGTAGTGCAAATAAATAAATAAAAATCCCCCAAAGCTCCTATTGGTCCCTCATAGCGCTTACTTTTAAATTGTTGAAGCCCTGATATTGTTGCAAGTGACTTGTTTAAGCAGTAGTGTGTGTTGACATATGTACATGCTTTCCATCCTTTGAAATAATTCAAACAAGAGGAAAAATCTAAAAAAAATGGAAAGCCCAGATGCATGTGATATCTTCGGTATTAATGGCAATTAGAAATTACAGAGGTGCATGGTTTTCACTGGAATTATTTTAAAATAAGATAAGAAAGAAAGGAGCTACTTTAAAAGGCTATTTTAAGTCCGTGTTGCTGAGTGTTGCTTTAGACAGCTGCTGTGAAGCACAACGTGATCATTCTGTAATTATTTTTTTCCCTTTCCGCAGTAGCTGCACAAGAATAGGTTTACCTCCCTTGTGGATAGCTACACTCAGAGTTTCTGCTTATCATTATTTGCCAGGTTTTACTCGGAGTTGATACCACATATGCTCTTACTAAGAAACCATTGATAAATCTTAAGTTTGGCACCAGAACTGAGCTCAGAATACTGTATTTTATTTCCATACTCACTACTGTAAAGAACCTTATAGAGAAAACAGAAAATTCCAGCTTTTCTTCATATGATACAGAAATGCATAGCTGGAGGTACTAATAACCAAACAAACATAAATAACTTGGAATGTATTGGATGAAAAAAATGAATGCATGTAAACTGTTTAAATAGAGGAGTGTGGATTACTTTCCCCTTTAAATGAGATGATGTTATTTTGCAGATTGGGAGATAAAGCATTAATGTCATTCAAATGTCACATAGCATGCATTTTGGGGTGGGGTTTCTTCCCAGGTGAAACAAGAATGTCAGAGCCATCCAGAC